TCTAGTCAAAAATCAAAGTCAAAATCTCTTCCACTGCTAAGATTCTATGAGAGGCGGAGGCACTTGAAAGTATCCTGAGCGGCAGCAAAACAACAACCACTCGCTGGCAAAGCTGCCGATAGTCCCGTCTTTCCAGGGTTGCTTACAAGCAAGTTGATGGCGACTTGGTTCCACTGGTATTTGCCGGTACCAATTTTTCATTAAAAACAGTACTTTTTCAGGATTTAATAATTGGTACTTTGAAGTAGCAGTCCAAAAATGCAACTGCAACGCAACAACGCTGTCAGTATCCAGAAAAGCAGATGCCAGCGAATGAAAGTGTATGATGAATTGTTTTCAGATGGGAACACGGAATGTATGGTAACTGCTATACGTTTCTAGTGACCGGCCTACAATACAGTGGCTTTGTTGGACCGCTTTACGGGCTATCGCTAACACTGTATGTTGCCGATCGAGAGTATCTAGCCAGGCATTCTCAAGGTTCCGGTTTCAAAGTACGTGCAATTTTACTTTTTTGTAAAAAAAAAGAAATTTAAGTCAAATCGTTCTTTACTTCTAACTCGAGAAAGAATTAGGTCAAATTGTAAATCTGGCACAATTTTGCCCAATCTTTTTTTTAGTCTTAGCTGTAAAATAGCTGCGGATATTTTTGGTTCAAATTTTTGAGAATTTGTTTTTTTTAGTTGTAGCTGGCTCTTCATTTCGAAAGGAATGAAGAGCCAGCTACAACTAAAAAAAAGATTGGGCAAAATTGTGCCAGAAACTTATAGGTATTTTAATGGTTTTGTACGAAATGCTCCTTTGTTACAATAGAAAAAGTCCCACTCGGCTTCTTGATCACGATTTCATGAAAGGACTTCAAAACAACAGATTTGAACACTTCGCTAAAAATTTTAATGCGCATTAATTGAAAAAATTGAATAATTTTAGAAAAACATTACTAAATAAATCCTAAATATTAAGTTCAAAAATATCAGTTTCATATCAAGCATTATGGTTTTACTCCGTACATTTTTCAAGATTGCTCTTTCGAAATCACATTTTTTTATTCTTCCGAAATATATTATTTTCACATCGAACAAATTTCAGGTCGAAGTGCATCCTGTCGAATACATTCCTTTTCCGGAAGACAAGGGCTTTACGATATCGCCTGGCGTTATGACGTCCGTAGGAGTAAGACGTTCATTACCATAGTTCGAAATTTTGCTACAATCATCGGAATTTTAGCTTAACTAAAAATGCTATGTGTTCAGCAATGTGCACTTGCCATTGACGCATGCTGTTCGATAGAGTTGTATGTGAATGATTCTTCCTCTCCTTGAAAGTGATTAGAGAAGAACAACTGATTTACGTCGAGGTTCAGTGTTACTCACAGTTTGGGAAGAAATAAATAATATGTGTGTTTTGAAAAAATGAGACAGTTTTTGAATTCCAAACGTGCGGTCTGATTTACATGAAGACGAGGATTTGATTCTTTTCGTTTTACAAGGATTTTGTTCTTTTCGTTCTTTCTGCTTGATTATTTTCCCACCTACATATGTTAACAGTTGAAAATTAACACATATTTTGATTATTAAAGATAAAACAAATGCGAATATCACGAATGCCACTGCCATACGATGGAACGGAGTGTGGCGATCTCGGCGGCGCAATCGATCCGAACGGACCATGGTTAATTCTTACCGATTTTAAGTTCTAATCCACATACAAAAGCAATGGTGCTCACGGGAAAATAAACGACCACTCGGGCTACCTTCGAAAATTGGCGCACATACATCGAACAGGCGGGCATGTGTAGCTCAGGAACGAAAGACCTGACATGGTTACCCCGGTGTATGAGAATATCCCAATAATTTTGTTAGCTTAAAATTCCTACATCAATTGACCTGGCGGTTCTGAAATTTCTTGTATTATTATATCACAGCTTCTCCAGAAATCATAAGATAATTTTCCTCATAAAAACTAAATTTAACTACCTCAGAATGAGTACTACGGGAGAAACGGTCTCCTCTCCTCATTCAGTTCCAGTTTTCCTCAGGACGGAGAAAGGGAACTAGTCGTAAACTAGCCAAAGCATAAAAAGTTTCAGTGCAACAAAGTAATAAAATTTCAGGGTGAATGCATCGCTCTATCACAGAAGGTAAGCAAATATGGCATTTTGAAAATGAAGAGGCCCGGGAAAGGATTCGGCAAGAAGCAACTACATTCCCAATAGATGTGTCCCTTCAATTTTCTTGGATGCAAAATTTCCCATGCAAATGAGACTTTACAGGATCTCAGTAGATTTGAAATTATCACGCTTGGTATTTCGAAATTTTCCACCAATATGTTAAAGAATGCGCCTAAAGTGCCATTCAGTCACAATCCTCTTTTACTGTGCCGAAAAAGAAAAACACTTTGTCAAGGAGCATTGTCCGCACCAGCCAGACACTTGCTCCACACTCCTACCGCATCCGCTTCTCAATCTTTCTTTATTCGTAATAATTAAAAGATAAAAGGCACAGTGTTCAAAAACGGCCATCCGAGCAGTGCCTCGAAAAATGTGTTTGAGAAAACAAAACTATAAATCATGTCATCGACTGCACAGTAATTTGCCCTTCGGTGAAATTTGCTATGCTAAACAGAATTGTTTGTAGATACCACAATGCATTGCGAGCA